GTATTGAAATAACACCAAGGACAATAATGAAACATTACTTAAGTCCATCCAAAGAAGAACTCAGAGGTGGACTCAGTTGTACTTCATTGAGACTGACTTTGTTCTCCTGACTAAACTAGTATAATAAGATTGGAGAGAAAGAAATATTTTTTTCCCCGTGTTGACACTGCAGACAAAGTAGGGCAGATAGTTCGACCTAGAATGATGCTTTCAGGAAGGATGTCTGATGAGCGGAAGCAAACACTGATAATTTTCATCAAGTGTATGGATGTTTCACTGGAGAGCAAGATCAAGAGCATCCACACTATTGCATTCCTGATCAGCATGTGTGGTTGTCAGTTGGAGGAGTCCACTGGAGGAGAGCATGTGAATACTTTGTACTGAGAGAAAGATGGACAAGTGGGTCCTAGAATAAATCAAGCCAGAGCAGAAATGATCAAGCAGAGGATGTTGTACTTTGGGGACATCATGAGAAGGCCAGACTCCCTGGAGAAGCCCATCATGCTAAGGATAGTCAAAAAAAGGAGAAGAAGATGATGCCCAAATATAAAATGGACAGAATCCATTCAGGAACCTACGACCTTGCAAAAACATTTGCAAGGCTCTCGTTCGCATGGTTGCAATCAATCAAAAATTGCTTGATGGCTCATAACAACAACATAACTACAACATGGCACAGAAAATCAAAGTAGACGTCCTGATCACATTCCATCAATTCCAGAGGCAGTTGCATAAACTTCTTTGCACCTGCAAAGCATTCCCAAAATCTAACCAGAAATTATCTTGAATCTCAAACCATTCTTGCAAACAACAGTAGAATAAAAGACCTACCTTTCACCATTCCTTTCATTCCCTGGATGCAGCATTTTGTCCTTGCAGTAGCAGTATAAGACTATTGGTCCTTAGTTTTGTTGAGACCTTCCCAAAAGAAATGTCAAAGAATGACTGGGAAAGCCAAAAAACGCTCTTCCTGTCCAAATCTTTGCGGCTCCTGGGTGTAACCAACACCCTGGTTCTCACACCAAGGAACTCTGCCTGGGCATCCACTCCCCCCAAATTCTCCTGAAATTTCCCACGATGCATTTCATTCTACCTGCTTCAGAAAAGCTGGAACCAAATTCATCCAGCTACCTTTGCTACTTAATAAAGGACAGGTAGCCATGAATCGGAGATGATTTGCAGGCTCATAACTGCAAGAAATACTTAGAAGGGAGGAGGAAACAGTGCCATGGCTGCAGGGGTAACTCCCCCTCCCCCAGGAGGAGCTGCTGTGGCTCCAGCCTAGGTTGCCTCAGGGGGTTACCTATCTGTCATGTGGAGACAAGCCAATGTCATTCTGCATTGTGCAGATCCTCATTATGGTTGTGGTCCAATATACTTGATAGAGAAAATGCTTGAAGTGACACAGACGGGAGCAAAAGTCTGGATCACTACAAATTTTTGTGACATCAATTTGAACGTGTGTCTAAAACATGCTGACTTTGCATGCTTACATGGTTCATTGTCCTTTGTCAGGAGGACCCCAAAATGAACCAAATATGACTACCAAGCACCAATTTCCGATATAAATAAACAGTTCTATTATAAAGCTTTTCACTGTTTCTGCTGGAAAGAGACATTGTCCATGAACATCGGAACAAGATGCAGAGAGAAAGAGAACCTGGAGCTGTTGCCTCAGGTAGAGGTGGAGAGAATCCTGTCCCAGGACAGTTAATGTGTGTACAAAGGCATCCAAGCTGTGGCCCGTGCCCTGCATGCTACAACTTCATCCCAGTATAAGTAGAAATTGAGGGTGGGTGAAGGAGACTGGATGGAAGGTCCAGCACTGCAGCTATGGCGGGTATTTGTTTTTCCTCTTGCTTCACCAGAACAAAGGCCTTCTGCTATGCCTGTATTCTGTGCAGGGAAGGGACCATCTCCTCACAGGAAGAAACGAGGCCTCAGAAGATGGGCTGCTCCTTTTGGGATGCAGGCAAAAACTTGAGTCTCCTCAAGCTCTCTGTAAACCAAAACAGCACCTCTTAGATCTTGAATCGATGGGGAAGGGACCAGAGCGAGGGCCTTTTTGGTTCTGGCACTCTGCTAATGGACTCCCCTTCCCCCCTGTGAAAGTATTTCGGCATCAGTGAAGAACACTTTAAGGAAACATTCACTTTCATGAATCTGCTCTGAATCAGAGTATCAAGCATTCTGCTGAATCTCTTTTCTTTCTTTGATGTGCTTTGTATTTATTTAAAATGTACTTTTTATACATTTTACCCATCTGCCCTTATTCACTCAAATATTCAAAGGAAGATTTTACGGTTTCACTTTTGTTGACTACTTTGGCATGACATTTACTTTTGCCAGTAAAAACCTAATGATGGTTTTACCTTCCCCTTTCTGAACTTGGGTTTAATTTAAAGATGGACTCTTTACACCCACTCAGGGGAGTTCTAAGTTCTCACTGCATTTCATTCCCCCCATCCCACTGGACTTTAGCTCCCAGTTGTATGGTAAGGGTTCAGCCTTGGGGATTTTGTTCCATTGCTGAGTTCTTGCTTGGCTTCAGCTGGTCATCTGCTTATATCCCCAAAATATAAACTCACTTTCCTGTCCTATGAGGAAACACTGGGGTTCATCCTGGCTTCCTATGCAATATACTTGTCCCTAATAACAGGCTGCATATTAGGAATCTTCATGAAATGCCTGGAAACTCCAATAGTCAAACCCAATAGTTAATAGTTTCTTTCCTCCTTTCCGTGAATGTCCAGTTGCCTTTCCTGCAAAAGTTGTTGGGGAGTATATCTGAAAGCCCAAAGGTAGCAATTAAAATGCACCAGAACTTTCTCAATTGAGTAGCAATTCTTTGGTTTCCTATTTTCCTGGTGAAAAGAGGTGCCATATTACTTGATTTTTTGAACAGCAGGTAGCTTTGCAAGTTCATTGCATTGTGCCGGAGAGGCCAGAACTCAGAGGAGCATTTGAAATGGGGTTAAATAAAATAATAATCTGGACATCTATGGCAGACTTGCATGTTGCCTCCACCCTTCTGAGCTCATCCCGAGATAGGCATCTCTTTGTATCATGACTGTTACGAGAATCAAGGGCTCCCACAAAATGCTGCTGTAAGAATATACCCTTACTTGGAGGAGACATTTTCTTTCTACCACTCTGAAATGAAAAATCCAGAGGAAAACTCGGAATACTGTAGAAGTCTGTCTCTGGCATCCTGAGTATTTGCAGAATTAAATAAACTTTGCCTTTATCAGATAACATAAATTTGTTTATGGAATGGGCAATTCCCAAACCAAGCAACCCACCGGGACTTTGTGCAAACAACGCAGCTGACAACTTGCATGTTTACCACAGTTCATAGTTTTATTTGCTTATTTATTTATCTACACACCTATTTACGGTTCCCACTCCTGACCCCCAAAACTGCCAAAGCCTTCCTAGGCAGCCTGATCAGGTGGTATTCTGCTCTGATCTTCCAGTTCTACCGTCGGACAATCTGATCAGTTTTAGGTTATTTTTACAGACAAGCAGCCTTTCATGAGTATTGCAGTTCTTGCTTTTTTTCTACATTCTAATTCCAGACAAACAGCAGACTTTGGCTTTACCATGGTTCCCATCCCCTGTGTGGAGTCCTCTCACATTAGGCATGTATCTAATAAGCTGCCACACCTGAAATGCAACCCCAAGGTGCCCCAGTCACCAAATAGTGCAAGGACTCTTTTCTGGGGAGGGAGTATGTGAGATAGCCTGGGCTTGGCATTGTGTTCAGCTTTTTAGTGGCCTGAGAATCAGTTTCCAATTATCCCAGCCAGGATTTCAAGGGCACGTGCCTGGACTCAAATTCCATGCGAAGTGTAAATGGCATTCCCATTCAGTGCCATCTGTAGGAACCATTTCCAAACTGCATCTGAGGAAGAAGAAGGTAGTCGCAGGCATGGAGCCCCGCAGAACCATTAGCAGAGTCCCTCTGCCAAGCCATCTGCAGCAGCTCATTGAGCTACAGCATCCAACATGGAGGAAGGTTTCCAGTTGCTCAGGGTTTGTTCCACAAGTGCCTGCAGACCTCCTCTCTGCTGGGCTTACTTTCTAGGTCCAGCCTGAGCATGAGAGCATGGGCCCCACCAGGGGTTCTCCAAACCCTGCCACTGCCTGCCTATGCTACCTGCACCTATTTCCCTCATCGGTCTGCACAAAGACCAAAAACCACATTTCTATCCCACTTTTTTCTTACACATAATTGAATGTGGCAGAAATCAGTTCCCTCCTCCTGCTCTCAATCTTATCCCAACAAAACAACCCTCTGAGGTAGCTCAGGCTGAGGATCTGTGACTGATCCAAGTCACCCAGTTGGTGCAATGACAACGTGGAGACTGGAACTCAGTTCACCTGAGGTCAAGTCCCCTATGCTTAACCACAACACCACAGTGGTCCTCGACAAAAGGAAAGTTCATGAAGTATAAGAACTGATGTTTCTGCTATTTGTGTAAAAGCAAAGTGAATCCTTCTAATCCTCATCAAAGGTCAAGGGATGCTCATTTGATGGAGATTTTCTTTGAGACCAAGGACAGCAACCATCAAGTGCAACATCAGACAGCCTCTTGCACTGTGCCCAATGACCTTGCAGCATAGGAGAAACCATATGATGCTTAGAGATTTGGCTGAGATTTGGGGGAGGTCGGAATAGCCATGCCCATGGAGCACCTGAGTAGACACACCCCTCTCTTCTGCACTGGGCTCACTGCAGAGGAATATGCTGTGAAACCTCATCTTTGCAAGGGTTCTGGTTTTTTGGACTAAACTGGACTCAGAGCAGAGAAGAGCGGCCATGAAGGAGGGGCAGGAAACAGCCCGACCCTGAAGAACATTCTGTTGCTTCCACTCCCACTTCCACTGCTGCTCCAGACAGACTGTAAATCCTGGAGGAGGGCATTATGTGGCTTGGTTGCTGGATCACCCCCTGAATACTGACCAGAGGCTGCTTCACTGCTGAAAAGACCATCCTGTTAGTAGATATCCAGGGTCACATTCCCAGTGTAAAAAATGAATGAGATGGCAACCATGCTTTTGGTCATGAGATGTGCCTTCGTATTCAGATCAGGCCTCAAGACAATGATGTAGCACTTGGGGAGAAAGATGCAGCCCAACAGCATGACACTGGAGGCCAAGATGGAGAAGACCTGCACGGCCACCATGTACTTCCCCTTGGTGCTCAGGTAGGAGGGCAAGAAGGACACCCAGACGCTGCAGAAGACCAGCATGCTGAAGGTGATCAGCTTGGCTTCATTGAAGCCCCCTGGTAGCTTCCTGGCCAGGAAAGCCACTGTGAAGCACACAGCAGCCAAAAGCCCCATGTAGCCCAGGGCAGTGTAGAACATGGAGACAGACCCTTCATTGCACTGTAGAATGATCTCCCCAGGCAGAGAATGCATGTCATCCTCAGGGAAAGGGGGAGTCATGCCCAGCCAGATGGAGCACAGGACCAGCTGGACACTGGAGCAAGAAATGACAATGGAATTGGCCAGACTCTTCCCAAGCCATCTCTTCACCTTGCTGCCTGGCTTGGTGGCCAGGAAGGCCAGCACCACGGTGATGGTCTTTGCCAACACAGAAGAGACAGCTACTGAGGAGATGATGCTGAAGGCTGTTTGTCGAAGCAGGCAAGTTGCTTTACTTGGCTGCCCAATGAACAGCAGGCAGGATAAGAAGGACAACAGGAGAGAGGACAAAAGGACATAGGAGAGGTCCCGGTTGTTGGCCTTGACTATTGGAGTTCCTAGGAATTTAATGAAGATTCCTAACACAAAGCCTGAGATTAAAAACCAAATCAGGGCAAAGGAAGCCAGGATGATCCCCAAAGGTTCTTCATAGGAGAGGAAAGTTATCTCCTTGGGGATGCAGTGGTCTCGGTCCTTGTTTGGGTGCTGATCTTCTGAACACCTCCTGCAATGTTCTGCATCTGAAAAGAAGGGAAGCCGCTTCAGCTTCATTACCATGAAAGGGACTGATAACAAAATAAGGGGCTTGATGTACCACCCAGATTCTTTGCAGAATGCAAAGGTCATTCAAACCAAAATTTAATTTATTAATTGCTCGCATGTTCAGCCTGACCTTCAGAAAAGTATTAGGATGGTTGTTTTGTTCAGTTTAATTCCAATACATGGATGGCATTGCACATCCAGGCAGATTCGTTGGCTGCAAGAGTGCTAAACCAGATCAGAAGATGAGACATTTTTCAAAATTAAAAGAAAACAGAGACTTATGCATCAGCAAGGGACTTATGAAATGGATAGGAAAATGAAGACATCGTCACGTCGCACTGGGAGGATACCATTTGGGCAGAGGGCATGCCTGCCAGGTAGGGTATTCCTTGAGGAGGGTGTCACACTAGAACAAGGCTCCGCCTTTGCTCACTTCTTTCAGACCTTGTGGGTTCTGCAAGAGATCCTCCGATTACACGGACAGAGTTTGGGCAGATGCAACATTTGGATCTAATGATCAATGGGACACCCTTTCCTCTCCGGTCACCCACCTTCCTCAGTGGAGATGGTCCCTGCCACACATGGAGTGCAAGTATAGCAGCATGGGGGCTGTCCCTCCTGGATCTCCTTGGCATATCCAGGATGACAGCTATGGACACACCAGGAATGAGGCACAGTCTGGCAACAAAGATAAAAAGCATCAAGATGAAAATAGTAGGACCATTTGTCTGAGCAGAAATGAATCCTAGATTTGAGAAGGATTCCTATGGCCTAGTCCCAAGGTCTCCAGCACTGAATGGGTGGAATTATTTATTTAGGGAAGCTCACAAATGTACAAACAGAATGGCACATGGTAGGCAAATCAGGAGTGGTGCCACCTGGAGCTGGGGTCAGATTAGATGGTCCTTCTGACTCACTCTTTTCCTATATTTCTATTAAAAAGCAGGCAAATAGGATAAATTTCAATATTTTGGATGCAATGTTCAAGACAGCATCTGGCTCTCTGATGCTCACTGCATTCAGCCTGGGCCATGAAATGAGCTGAGCTGATAGCAAGTCCCACATTTGTGGAAAGGCGAGAGGGAAAATTTGATGGATGTTATCAAGAAAGTGCTAGAACAGCACTACAAAGAAACCAAGAATCTAAAAAAAAAAAGTCTGAACTATGTTGCAGAATTTAAATCTCAAATTATCACTGAAATCACAGAGGATAAGTCCAGGACCATCTGGGAACTCTGCAGGCACCCTTGCTCCAAGCATGCAAAGTACATGATTCTGTGCACAGAGACCAGTAGCCGCTTGTGCAGAAACAGAAGTCCACTTGCCCACTGGTTGTATGGGTGGCCAGCGGGCCAGCTCGCATCCTGCAGGATGACCATGCAGGCCCTCCACAGGAGTTGATCTCAGGCCAGAGAGAAAGTGGACCCTGGATTTGCTCCTGAGGATGCTTGGGGTGAATCATGGTGGAGGTCCTCACACTGTCCATCAAAAGGACCCCTTCAGCTATTCTGTTTGTTTCCATTTTTGCTTGCTGGAAAATTGACCAAGGCAGTGGGAAATTATAGAGAAATTTGCAGGGATATTTATCGCTATCTGGACATCCTATAACATCCTCTGTATGAGGCAGAAGATGGCGCAATCCAAGCCCCATCAGGAAGCACCTTTGAAGTCCAGACTTCAAGATATGTATTCCTTAATCTCCCTATCCAATTTTCAAGAACCTGCCACAGAAAGATTGATGCATACAAGCTCTGAGGAGTCCATCCCACTATCATTGGCAGACTTCCTCGCACTCTCAGCTCTGGCTTACAAAGTGAGCCAAGCAATGAGAAAGCTCTGGATCCCTCATGGAACCCCAGTTGTGCAGCTGGCAACCTGCTGCCATGTCACATCCAGCAGCACAAGCAAAGGTTGCTGCACATGACATGAAAGAAGAAGCCGCTTTCACACCAGGTGCACAGGGCTCAGTTCTGCGTCCGCATATGGGAATCCTTGCAAGGAGTTCAGATTCATGGCGGCAGGAGAATGGGCCAAAGCATGGGGAGCTGAGCCCAAGGAATCCAATAAATTCCCAGGCCTAATGTAGATTAGAAGTACAATTTAGCAGATGTACTGAGAAACCAGAATGAAAGTCCCCAAAAAGGAAGGGTTGGAGTTCCTAAACTCTCCCTGGCCTGCAATTCTAGAAGACAGTTCCCTTGGCAAGGCAATCCCACATGATTTCACACAAGAAAAAGTCCCTTTCGATGCAGTGGAACTTACTTTCCCAGGCAAGTGTGCGCTGGATTTATCTATTTATTTAGAATTTTTGTATGCTGTCCCATTGCTTATAGCCTCGGGATGGATCACATAAATAAATAAACAAAAGGCCTTCTACGTATTATGGCGAAGATTCATAGATCTGGACAAACATAGCACAAGATATTTGTCCCACCTGGTTAAACTGCCAGGGCCATACAATGTCTTCCTCCTTGAGTGTGAGCTTTACATCATGGGAGGACTCTTTCTTCACACTCCCAACTGTGACACGGCCACATGTTCTATTGGGAAATAGCACCCAATTGATGAGGTCAAAGCTGGCTTTCAACTCCCTGTTCTCATCAAACTGCAACCCTTCCACGGAAATATTGGAAAGCTGGATTTCTCTTAAGAACCGATGCAACTAGAATGATGGAGGGGTGATGGAGGGAGAAAAGTAGTAGAAAATAAGAAGGATGTTTCCATAGTCTTCCTGTCCTAACAATATGCCTCCATAAGCCACAAACTGGAACCAAATCACATTCTATCTGCTAAGGCCGTGAGATCCTTCAGTAATGAAGACTGAAACCTATATAGCCCTTGCCTAGGAGAGGCCACTTCAGGGAAAGGCAACACCACATGCATCATGAAACCAGCCTGGCAGTGTCAGATCTTGTGTTGTGGGGGTGGGACTTGGCTAATCTGGGTTCTGGCCCCACTAAGCAATGAAACTCTCTTTGGGGCTTTGGGCAAGTCATTCACTCTCACCCTCACCTACCACATAGGATTACTGTGAGGGTGAAATGAAGACAAATATCACAGAATCACACAATAGCAGAGTTTGAAGGGACCATGAAGGACATCAGGTCCAACACACTGCTGTTTCAGGAGAACAAATTACACCAACCCACTCAGATGGCTGTCCAGTTTTGCATAGAATGTCTGTATTCTGGCAGAGGCCATGACCCCTCGTGATAACTGGTTCCATTGTTGGATTGTTCTGAAGTGAGAAAACTTTTCCTGATGTCCAAACTGAATCTGGGTTGTAACAACTTAAACGGATTATCCTCTGTACTAGATTCTAAGATGCGCCAGAAGAGATCTTGCTTTGTGCTTCATGACAGAAAGGACAGGAATTTATCATGATCATCAGTCCCATCATTACCACTATTTCATTTCATAGCACCCCACAGCCAAAGCAGCAATTCATTAAAATGTCGATAAAATGCAAAACCATTACCATAAATAATTAAATAATGAAAAAGTAGAACACTTAAAACAAAAAACAAAAAAATTGCTCCATGAAACATAATGGGTGGGTAATCCTCTTCAAACCCCTTGTTAGCCAGGAAAGCCTTTGAAGTTTTGCATTAAGGGCCATCTTAATTTGGCATGAGATGACAAATTCCGTGCCAGCATCCCACAGTGTGGAAGTTGTTCCATGGATGAGGTGTCAGCACAGTGCAAGCACTTCCCCCTAATGCCACTGTGCTTCCATCAGAGCTGATGGAGGAAGCGTTCTGTCCAAGGCTTCATGAGAATGCTCAAAAAAGGGATCCCTCAGGATGGAGTCAGTGGAGTAGACAAACTACCATACTTCATTTCGTCTCCTAGAAAAACAGCCCAAAATAGACTTCATAGATGAAGACTTTTATGCACAAAGTGCTTTGTGAAAAGATCACAGTGAGTTCTTGAGGGGTCTTGGGGTCCATTTTCAAGAAAATGTTTGAATAATCTGGGGGAAGTTCAGATTACCCCTCCTTGTGAGTTGCTTATGCTGACAAGAAAAGGGTTCTGCATTGCCATGGAATGGGCAAGATGAAGGGCTATAACATACGTTAGGTCATCTTTCTTTGGATAGATGCAGACAACATGACAAGTCATGATTAATTGTTATCAGTAACAATGTCTTTCACTCTAGTTTGTCCATACCACCATGGCTTGTTGTGATCTCCAATTCATGCCAAAAGCAGGATGACTGAGTAGGGATAATGGAAACCACAAAACCAGCAAAACCACATGATAGTGTGTCACACACATCATGGTAAATATTTTCAAATCATGGGAAAGCCACTCACTTACTTTCCAGTATACACCCAGCTCCAATGTCTTTCTCCCTTCCCAGTGATGGTGGAAACACAAAAGCACATACCTGCCATGGCTGCATCCTTTGATGTTGCAGCCTGTCTCCTCCACCCAACCTCCATGACCACTTTGATTGGAATGATGATGCAGCATGCAAGGCATGGGCCACGACTTGGATGCTGTTGTATGTGCTGAAGCTTTCTTGAGACAGGGCTCTCTCAACTTCCTCCTGGGACAGCCTCTCCAGTTCCTCTTTCTCTCTGCATGTAGTCCAAGCTCTCAGGGAGAAAACATGCTCTGAATAGGAACAAGAAAAAGCATCATCCCAAAAGAAATAGGTATCAATAGATCTTGGAATGTAATAACCAGGTATTGTGCTTTTTGTGGGTTTAATGACGAAGGAGAAAGAGCCATGGAAAACCAGGAAGTCCACAGGATCCACACCCAAAATTGTGTCCTGAGTGGCTGTTGCAATCCACACCTTGGTCCCAACCTGCTCCTTTTCAAGTATGTTGTATATTGCAAAGCAGCTGTAGTAAGAGTCTGCATAGTAAACAGCCACATTTGCTTGTCCCCACTCGACAGCTACTTCATGGTGAGACAGTTTGAGCATGCCTTTTCGTGGCATCCTTTTTGTGAAGGCGATGCAGATTGCATGACTGATAATCAAAGGGGTCAGGGCATTC